ATATATATATATATATAATTTAAAAACATTGCTAACAAATTCAATCTAAAACTTTAAAAAAATAAAAGACTGCATTTAAAAATAGTGCTGTCATAAGCACTTTTTTTTTCTTTTATAATCATAACAATAGTCAGATAGATTTCGTCCATCAATATATTTAGTAAATAATTTAACCTTTTCTTGTTGTAATTTTATAAAAAAATTAATTTGAAAAGCTGGTTCAATTTCATTAATGTCTAGCAGGATTTATTTAATATATTTTTAGTGTTTACTTACTTTATATAAATTTGTTTAATATTTCTTCCAAATATTAAGAAGTTTACACAAATTTTAAATTATTACCATTTTACTTGTTTATCCAATTTTATTCTTTGTAATTTTAATTTCTTTTATATTAAAATATTTAAAAATGACTAAAATTATTATTTAAATATTATGTTATTCATTTATTTATATATTTATATTTCTAAATTTAAATAGTAAATTTTAAATTCAACATTCTAAATTCAATTCAATAATCGAATAGCGATTGAATATTATATTGATCACAAATCTAAACAAATCTTAGTCAAACTTAATATAGACGAGTAAAAATTAGATCGAATGACTTCGGGTTCAATCCAAATTATAAGATCGTATTATCAAAATAAAATTAACTATTAATTGCTCTGTAAAAAAACTTTTTAAAAATCAATGGAAGGGTAAAAAAAAACTATTAAAAAATAATTATGAAACACACCCATTTATATCACTCGTTATCTTTTATATTTTATGGGATTATTGTCGCGTTTCGCGTGTCCAAATCTTTTTAAATTAGAATGTAATGCACGAGAAAATAATACATATATTTTATAAGTATATTAGAATGTTAAATTTGTAATATTTTCCTATAATGATCAATATTAACTAAATATTTCTTAAGACAGAGATGATCAAAAATCAAAATTAAAATTTTTCTTGGGTAGATGAACACTGCGAATCAAATATCTTTAAAAATTTCATTTTATTTTCAAATAGTAAACTTGAGCAGAATTACAAGCCACTTTAAGCATAAAATATATAAGGACCCAAATTTAATCACTAAAACCATTCGTGGCTACGAGGCTACACACTCTGGCATCCTTGTACACCTTTCCAGGGCGGCAGAGATAACCTCTCTCCGGTGCGCAGTGTCGGTCGTCAGAGCAAATGCAGATCCCTTCCAAAGCGCAGCCATCTCTCACCAAACTCGTCTTCTTCCCCTCCACCCCAAGCACCTGATCTGTCCACTCCGCAGAGAACAATCCCGCAGGATCATACTCATTTTTCACCCTCATAAATTCCCCAATCCCTGAATACTTAGCACTAACTCCATCAAACGCAATGTTCCTATTCTTCCCCCAGTGCGGAAGTGCCCCGTACTTGAACAACGCCATCTGCTCAATCTCCTCCAGCACGTCCTCGTAAAGCCTCGGCCTCAATGGATCGTGGCTGCGATAATAAGTGATGTCGAAATCGACGCCGTCCTCGTCCTTGCCGAGGTAGGCAGAGGAAGCCTTCACGTAGCGCAATAGGATGCCATTGTTGATGTCAGTGCTGCAGAGCGCTTGGGGGTGTAGGTCTCTGAGCTTTTGGACTTCGAGGATGAAGTCTTGGACTTTGGAGAGCGCGATGCTGAAAGCGGTTTGAAAAAAGAACTTGCCCTTGATGCGGGGATCCCATGGACAGGAGGTGAGAAGGCCATCCTCTGGTGACGTCAAACAGCTGCCGGAAGCTTGCATGCGGTGCTGTAGGCCGATTACAGGGTAACCCTTGAAGACCAGCCCGTCGCTGGTGAGACCATAGGCGGCAAGGGACAAGGCAGAGTTAACGACCGTCGCGGCGCCGCACTTGCCGGAAGCGTTGCCGAGGGCTTCGAGTGTATCCTCTGCAGCGGGATAAAATTGCAATTTTGGACTCATCAGTAGAACATATGATAAACTTGCAACTGAGAGATTTCTGAAGAAAGATAATATATAATTTTATAATTTTATTTTTTAATGCACATGAATAATTATATCAATTATTATCTATACTATTTTCTTAGTACCCTGCAAACCTCCATCATATAACTAGTCCAATAGCACAAAAATATGGAAGGAGTACTGCTATTCAGCCGAGCATATTAAAAGGTTTATTTTAGAAGTATAAAATTTTGAACAAAATGATTTCCAAATGTTGCATCGCAGTTATTTTTCTGTGACAACATCTGAGGAATTTTTTGAATGATCCTTATGCTGTAAAATCATCGAAAAAAAAAATTCAATTAGGAGCAACTCATGCGAAATTTATATGATGAAGCAGATGCAAGACATATTTATTATTATTTTTTTATTTTAAATTTCTTAAAAAATGTTTTTTCTAATTTTCAAGGCCAATCATAACACTTAAATTTTATGTGTTTACAAAAGTCAAACTCAACAATTTCAATTTAAAATAGTGGAATATATATATATAATTTTTTTGTATTTACAAATCTATCACTTCAATTTTAATTTTTTTACTTATATAAGACTCAAATATTCTACAGAGAATAAAAAATATCAACAATAATAATTTTTTTATAGTGAAATAGAAGCATTTCTTTAGGTAGATTATATTATTAAAAAGCAATAAAATTAAATACTAGATTTATAATATATCTATATACATAGAGAAAGAGAGAGAGAGAGAGAGAGAGAATAATTATGTTGTATATATAGGTAAATCCCCAATAAAATAATATACAAAAATATCCAAGTCCACAGTGAAAAGATCAATTTTTTTTTTTTTTTCGTTAAGTTCTTTATGAATTGATTTTTACAAAAACAAATACATAAGTTTAATATTTTATTTTAGGCGGCAAACTAGATGTTTAGAAATAAAAAATTTGGTTATATATTCTCCACTTTTCAAGTGTCTATTGTGAGACACAAGGTAACTTTTGAACCCATTCTTTAAAAGGCATCATAGGGTTGTCAATGAATGATTTGATCAGAAAATCTGACTCCATTTCGACTAGAAACATTCAAATTTCGATTGAACCAATTTCCATTTAAGCTGAATTTCAGGTCCAAATTAAGAATCTTATCAGTATTTGGGTTGATTTAGGGTTGATTATAATACCCAAACAAGGGCTCAATTAAAGTCTATATAATAAATGAATTAAATTAAGTAAAATATATCCCAAACAAGCCAACTTCGAGTAGAACCCAAAAATAGATATGTAAATCCAAATTAATATCTTATGGGAAAGCACAAAGCAATAACCGGACAAAAACAGCAAAGCACTATGGCTTGGCCGCTATATTAATGACAAAATTGCCATGGTTTAGCCAAACCGAAACGAAATACCCCTAAAGTAAATTTGTCTTAAAATAAATGAAATTAAAAAAAACAGTTTAAATATATACATATATTATCAATATTATAAAATAAATTCGATGACTTTCAGATCTTTTCCGATGCAAGTTTTTTTCTCCAAAAAATTATGCTGCAGGGAGCTCCATGTAAAATATAAAATATTTTTTAAAATAAAAATTTAAAATAATTTAAAATCTATTGCAAAAAGCCTAAACCTGGGTTTTGGTACTCTGTGTTATTTTTTTCTGCCCGTTTTTAATAAATTATGAAACAAGAAAACATCTAATCTTTAAAATAATGTGTTAATTACAAAATGAATAAAGTTTGATCTTACTAAAATTTTGTGGCATTTTTAAAAAACTAAAGGTTAGATAAGTAAAAAAAAAAAAACTATAATTCTGATTTCCTCACACTTAATTATCATCTAAAAAATAGTTTGAATATTTTCTATTAATCCAGTTATATTTTGAGTGCTCGCTAATTTTTCCTATTATTCTCTTAAAAAATCTTACAGTTATTTAAAGAAAAAGATAGAATACGGAAAATTTTTCAAAATATGGGTATTCTGTATTCATGTCTTAGAGTTCGTTTTAAGGTGATTAAAATTATTCAGATTTTTATATTTTTTACTCTAACAAAGCTTATTTACAGCGGATAGCACCATTTCCAAAGATAAAATACACTTAGATGACAATATTTTTTTGTCACTTTACGCATGGCGAGAGAAATATTATACTCCTAACGTACTATTAAAAATACTTGCCAGATCATCCATCCCAACGCATAAATACTTTTTCCCAATCATATCTTATCTTATAAATATGAGTGATTCTCAATTAAAGCAGGGATTGAGATGATTTTTTCGTATTAGTTTCGAACTCGAGGAACATTTTTTAAAGATACAAGAGGAAAAAAACAAAAAAGTGGAGCAAATTCGAACACCTACCAGTGGATCTGTCGATGGCCAATCCCGCAACTAGGGTTGAACGAAAGCCCAGGAAATCGTATAGCCCGTCTCCCCTACCGTTTATGGAAACACGACTATCCTTCCGGTACAACGCTCTACCAGTGCCTGGATACCATGTAATGTCCGCGAACTCGTACTGTTTCCCGAAGCTCACCACGGCCGCCGCAAGATCTCCGTCTCCCCGATTCTCATATGTGACCGACCGCTTGAACACCGGCTGCAGCTTAAATGTGACCTGCAGGTCCATATTCGAATTTTTTTAAAAAAAAAATTTTTTTTTGACCCCCGCATGAATCCAGATTGGGAAAAACCATTAGCCAGTGAAGTACAATATCATAATTTCATCATGTTCATGCCATTCAAAACAGTATTTTGGTACAAGATGGCGGTTTGACGTTTACTAACCTGTGATATGATTCCCAGCACTCCAAGCGAAACCTTGACAGCATTCAATTCAGGATCGTCAGCTCCGAGCGAGCGCACCCTGGCATAGCCTTGTGCCGGCGATGCCGGCGTTACAATCCTGACCCCGACGACGTAATCATGCACCGCGCTGCCTTTCCCCCATAACGAGCTTCCGTGCGCTCCGGTGCCAAGCATTCCGCCAACCGTCACCCCTGCCCAATAGGGCGAGTAAGGCAGAGCGAGACCGGCGTCACCGGCAGCCTTAATCAGATCGCTGAGAACCATGCCGCTTTCTACCGTGAGCAGCAACGCCGACGCGTTGACGCTCACGACGCGGTTGAGGTTTTTGGTGCTTATGAGGAGGCCGTGGTCGCCGTCTGGGCAGGACAGTTTTGGTATGCTGTGTGCGTATCGCGTCGCCGCCTTCATCTTAGTTCCGGTCCGTGCGGCTTCGGCGACTGAAGCAAGGAGCTCATCCTCCGTCGCTGGAAAGACGGCCCTCGCGGCGGTGCAGGTGGAGCGGTCGGGATATGTGCCGTACGAGTTGGTAATGGTGCAGTTGGTCGTGCCGGATGCGCACTTTATGGGGTCTGCTGGTGGGCTGCAAAGCATGGTCGGAAGAAGTGATAATGCTGCGAGGCAAAAAGCCGCGTGGGCGCAACTAGATTTGCGCTCCAGCATTGTTGCTTGCTTGCTGTCCTTTACTAAGTACGATTGGTATTATATACTCATCGAACATGGATGGGTGGGAAATAAACTATAGGGACATTTACATGCATACCCCACAATTTTTATGTGTTTACAAATTTAACACCTAAATTTTATAATGTACAATCATGCCACTCAATTTTTTTACATCACATCAAAAATAACAATTTTACTAATTTTCTTATAGTTGAATATATATTGTTATGCATATGTTATAACAGCAAGGAATTATGAATATAAATATTAAAATTCAAATGGTAAAGATGTAAATTCATAAGAATTGTGTGGTAGGTATGTAAATTTTCATAAACTATAGAGAATTTACACACATACGGCATAACTTTTATGTATTTAGAAGGGCTAACACCCATAACTATAAAAGTGTTGTCGCGTGATCGGCGTTGTGAATGAGATCGATCATGACAGGAACAAGTTTTTTCTTATCAGAGTTGAGGAATAATAACGCGGCGCCACCGGCTTACCTTCGTGCGTTTACATGTAATTTTATCCTTATTTAAAATATACTGATCCACTTTCATTTATTATTATAAGTCCACTTTTACGTATGATAAGTTTTATTGATTCACCTCTTCAAATACATAAGTTATATATTTTCAATTTGATTTTACAAGAAATATAACGTTTTTTATTTTATCTTTGCATTTTGGATTTATTATGTGAAATATTTTCGTCATCTTACCAAAATATCATTAGTAGTAGTATAAATTATTCCTATTAAATTGTTGCGAAAAGGTAGCATACCCCAGCATGATTATGGGTTTGAAGCACACAGGAACGACGATGATTTTGCTAAACAAGCTTAAAATGTTTTAGAATCTTATTTGCGTGTGAATTCACACCACCCAAAACAAAAGAGTTGACATAGCAATGGCTTTAAGCTATGATAATAAAGAAGAAATTAAAGGAGGTAAAAATAAGCTTCCATATATATATATATATATATATCACTATTAAAAAAAATGAGTTTTTGTGACATTTTATATAGGCTATCGGCAGCGAAAAAATATCATGTTAATTTCATTGCAACAGATTCTAAAATGTTGCAATATTTAGTGCTACGAAGAGTTTTAGCAGCCCTTTTAAAATTTTCAGAGAATGTTTTTAGTCGTGATGATTTTTGCAGCATTTTTAACTGCTATATTCCATCGCAACTGTATACTCAAACATGGTTTACACGAATTTCGAGGCAATTTAGTAGTCGGTCATCTCGTTTCAGTCGGCCAGCTGAACTCTCTCCCTCGATCTTCTCATTTCAGTCGGCCGACAAACATAGACATGAAAGTATGCATCGATCTCGAGACGATCCAACGGTCAAAATAAAAAATGTTGAAATGTTCTTTATTTCTCTCTTCAAAGCCAACCAAATATATAATGTAAAAAGGGGGGAACCTTTTTGGGGGCACCTCACATTTATCACCTAATTTTATAGAATAAAATGGGTCAACAAGCCCAAGAATACCCCATTCCCCTCTAGTCGAGGGAAGTCCTTCTCTTCTCTCTCTCTCTCTCTTCTCTCTCTCTCTCTCTCTCTCTCTCTCTCTCTCTCTCTTCTCTCTCATTTCTCCCCATCTCTCGATCACCTCCACTTGGTCCAATGGTCCATTCTTTAGGCACGATATATCAGTTTAATTTGGATTCAACATCCTAAAAGCTGTTGTGAGCATGAATCGTGTTGTGAACTAGATGTGTAGTGTTCTTTTGCCATTTCGTAATACTGTTAAATCCTAAGTTTGATTTGACTCCAAAGACTGTATTACTTCATCCATGACAAGCTCTTACTCACTTGAATCTTCAACTTGAGTAGCCTCCTCAAAGCACTCTGGTTCAACACTATCAATTATGAACACATATTATAAAGAAGGAGAATACTTGTATATGGATTATGCCACTCCATTGGATTTTTTTACTTCTGTAGCAGGTGACTGAGGAACATCCATTGCTCCTTTTGATTGAGCACTACTTCTTTCTCCACTCTCTAGACCACCAGTATCATCGATCTCAACATATATGGATTCTTCAGAAGTAACTGACGGACTGTCCTGAGTTCTAACCACGTTTCTGTACATCTCCATTTCATTGAAAGTTATATCTCGGCTAATGATAAATTTCTGATTCTGGTAATCTCAGAACTTGTAGCCAAAATCATCTGAGTCATATTCAATGAAGGTGCACTTTACAGATTTTGAGACAAGCCTGAACCCTGCATCAACATGGACATATGCAGAACAAACAAATACTCCTCAATGAGATAATCATAACCTTTTGTCATTCCAGGCTTTTTCAAGTAAGCTTTCCTTCAAAGATACTGATGGACTATGGTTAATCAAATAAATTAAAATGTTTACTGCTTCAGCCCAAAACTGTTTTGGCAAGTCTGCATGCAGCCTCATGTTTCCAGCACTCTTCATGATTGTTATGTTCATGCGTTCAACCACACCACTCTATTGTGGTGTCATTGGGACAATTAACGCATCCCTAGCCACCTATGTAGCTCAAACATTTATGAACTTTTGATCACGGTGCTCACCCCCATTATCTGATCTGAGGCACTTCAACTTTAAAAATGCTCATTTTTTACCATAGCCTTTCACTTCTTAAAAAGTTCAAATTTGTCAGATTTTTTGCTTAAAGAAATAAACACATAGCTTTCTCGTGTGATCATTAATGAACATGACAAAATATCGAGAACCTCTAATAAACTGAACTGGAGTAGGACCCCATACATCAGTATGCACTGACTGCAGTTTCTTTAATTTCACCATAGACCCGCTCTTTGAGAAAGAAACTTTCTTCTGCTTGACTTAAAAATGATATGCACTGACTCCAGTTTCTTTAATTTCACCATTGACTAGATCATTGAGAAAGAAACTTTCTTCTGCTTGACTTAAAAAATAGTTTTCACATAAATCCAGTTCAATTGATTTCAAACTCTGAAGCTTAATTTTGAAAGTAGGTACTTCACACATTTCTCGCTTATATGATCAAGCCTACGGTGCCACAGATTTGCATCCACCCTATTTCCAGCCACATCAATGAAATCAACCATTTCATTGATCAGATAAATAGTGTCTTCAACGTTGCCCCGATCTATCACTAATGCCTCCTGGTCACCTTCTAGGAATCACCTGTGAAAGTAGTCACAAGTCCTGAATTTGTATGTTGACTCACAAAGATAATATTTCTCTTCAAAATCGGAGCATGTCTTACTTCAGTAAGCTTCCAGACTATTCTATTCGGCAACCTGGTATCATCATCACCCTTCTCTACTATATTTCATGCCTTGTTATCTCCCAAATAAATATTCCCTAGATCACTTTGAATGTAGCTTTTAAATATCGCTTTTTTGAGGCAATCATGAAAAGAAGCACCTGAATCTACTTTCCAAGATTCAGTGCTGACTAGGGATAACACCAAAGAGTCATTTTGAATTTCACCAGTGGAGACATTAGTAGCCTGTCCTTCACAACCAAATTTCCTTGGAGCTTTATAGTTCTTCTTGGAATGCTCATTCTTATTGCACTTTCATCATTCTTCTCTGCTTAACATGGGCTTTCCTTTCTTGAACTTGGATCTGCCCTGCATGTATTCTTGTTTGGATTCCCTCCCTTGTTATCACCATTCAACGTAGAACCTGAAGATTCAACATTCACTATTTTTCTGCTAACTCATTCATTCAGCATCATACCCTTGATATCATCGAAGTTCAACTTCAAAATCTCTGAAGAATTACTCACCGACGTTATCAAACCAACTCAGATGTCTGATAATGAATATTATATCACCAGAGCCCTGATCTCATCATCAATTTTGATCCCCACAGAGCACAACTGACTCATCACAGTGTTGAAGTTATTAAGATGCTCTGTCACTGAAATGACTTGCTCGTCTTCATGTTGAATAACTAATTCATCAGAAAAACCTTCTTGGAAGCAGAAGCTTTTCGTACATTTTAGCCAGTGCGGCCATGAGTTAAATCTTGTGTTTTCTTATTATGTTTGACAGCATTTTTAAAAACAACCGCTAAATAAACGCTATAAAAACCTTTTTTTAACAGTCAAAATAGACTAATCATATCTTAATAAGGATTTGAATTAATTTAATTTAACTTAATCTATCGGAATTTTAAAATTTTCTGTATATGTCAGCTAGAATTTCTCCAAAAAAGAAGTTCTCGGACCAAAAATAATTAAAAAGAAGTTATTCGGCAGCACTTGAGATTGAGTTCCCAAACATTTATTGGCTTCCATCAGCACATAGGATATAAATAATTTCTCTAATGTTTTTTTCGCGTTGACTTCGTTTTAATTATTAGTTCTTGTAATTTTCAATCTTCGTGCAAGTCGAAATTTATCCAGTTTTATAACAATAAGAAACGAATTCTTATTATCTTCCATTTGGAAAAGAAATTATTCTCTGCATGCGGTGTCCAATCCTGATCGTAGATCACGTGATCTACGGTCAGGATTATTTCAATTTTTCTTAAAAAAAAAATAATAATTTAGGTGTGACCCAACGAAATACATCTTGACCTGATTTACGGTCAGGATCGGACACCGCACGCATCCGATCCGTATGGAATAATTTTTCATTTTCTTGACTGCTTATCTTCTCGATGATCGATTAAAGCAGGTTTAGAAATGTAAAGGCAAAAGTCAAAATTTTAATTCAAATCCGCACATTTTGCATGAGGTTAAAAAATCAAAATTTTACCTTTAAAAAGGGACATTTACATACACATCACCTAATTCTTAGCTATTTATTACATATTTAACACTTAAACTTTTCACATTTATGCCATCTAGACCTTTCATATTACATAAAAAATATTACTATTTCAAATTTTAAAATGTGAAATAGACTTTTTCATGTATAGACAAGATGATATATACATAAAAGTTGAAGATGTTAGATATATGGATAAATCATTCTTCAAGAAAATGATGAAAATTATT